TAAGAATTATAACAATTAGTTACTATTATATATAAATAAAAATACTATATGTATGTATATATGTATGTATGTATGCATGCATGCATGTATGTATGTATGTATGTATGTATATATGTATGAATGTATGCATGTATGTATGTATGTATGTATGTATGTATGTATGTATGTATGTATGTATGTATGTATGTATATGTAAATGTAGAAGAAGCTCGATTAGGCTCGTGAGTCGAGATTTATTAGGCTCAAGCTTGGTTTGATTAGAAAATGAGCCTGTAAATTTTGCTCGAGCTTAGCTCGAAACTCGATTAAAGCCGAGACGAGCTGAGTTTTTCACGAGCTAAGCTTAAATAGCTCTTGAAAAGCTCGACTCGTGGCCACTCCTAGTGATYCAGATATCCCAACGGTTACTCATCATCTCTCTGAATATTGAGGTGTGTGATCAAACCTAGACAATAGTGGGCTCTCCATGGTAAGGTCAATAGACCTCATGTGCACCCTACTTTGTCACCACCTTAATCTAGAGCGGCAATCGAATCAAGCTCTAATCAAATAGTTTGAGCTTTGTCCTATTAGGCTCGGTTTGAGTTCAAATCAAATTTGAGTTTYAAGACACGATGATCAATAAGTTATTCTAACTCAAGTTTGACTAATAATATGCTCGGCTTGAAAGCTTGCGAGTTTGGCTTGACACATACGTACATACATATAAAGACAGAGAATATAAAAATATTTTATAATACATTATGAAAACATATTTTTTATATTCTATATAATCTAAGAATATATACTATGTATCGTGTGTGTGTATATATATATATATATATATATATATATATAATTCATACATACACACACATATATATTCATTTTTTACCTTTCAATATGAACTTAAACTCACCAAATATTTAATCGAACTGAACTTGAATCAAKAAATTTGAATTGAACTCAAACTTGAATCTGAGCATATAGTAGTATTTTAATCGAACCAGGCATACAAAAGTTTAGCTTGGCTCCATTACATCCCAACCTTAATCCCTTTATAACGTATAATATGTGATACTAAATAAAACTCAAGTGAATGGATGAATTTTGTTATCAAAAAGAATCTGGGTGAATTTTGGATACTTGATCTCCTCCTCGCAAAAAAGAAAAAAAAGAAACCTACATGCACCTTGAAAGCACTAGCATCTATCCACACATTGGGAATATCTCCCCATGAATTTAACATACACATATGGTTACCAATGTGTGGGTAGATGCGATCATGCAAGTGCTTTTAGGTGTGCAAAGTTTTGTGGGGGAGAGAACAAGGGCTTTGAATTTTGAAGGTGGCTGCTAGCATGCTAGTAAAGTCTCTTGTGGGTTGTAGCAAGAAACCTGGGATGGGATGAGGATTTCGGGTGGGCTCTCCCGAGAGCATGCCGCAGAATACGACCCAACCATGCCCGGGAACATCTCCCCATGACAGGTACAATAGATGCTCTCAATGCACACTGAGATGTACATATGAAACATGCTCTACGAGGAGCTAATCTAAACCTTGGGTGAATCCCACTTTAATAAAATAAATGAATTTTCATTAGTTATTAGTTATTGTATATTTTAATATAAGGCGTAAGGATAAAGATGTGAACTACTAATGTGCATGTGAATTTATAAACACTAGTGTAAGGCCCATTAATAGTGCAGGATAATGATATAAATTAGTACTCTATGTTATCAAATTTAACTTTATCTCTAGTTTCAAAATCAAGTATCTCTTTTATAGATTATATAAATTATACTAGGGAAAATTTCAGATTAGTACCCTATACTTTGGGTCTAGTGCCACTTAATTTGGTCCCCAAACTTTAAAATGCACAATTTAGTAACAAAACTTTCAAGACGTGTCAATCTAGTACTTGTCATTAATCAGCTGTTAAGTGTCATTGAAAAGACAAGAATACCCTTCAAGTGTCATCTAATTCTCTTTATCAACTATCCAAACGTTGACAAAAAATGAACAGTCCCAAATCCTTGCCTCTTATGTTCAAGAATGCAACCCCAACTTTTTTGAACCGAAGAGGCAAGTATTTGGGGCTGTTCATTTTTTGTCAATGTTTGGATGGTTAATAAAGAGAATTAGATGACACTTGAACGGTATTTGTGTCTTTTCAAATGGAACTTAGTGACTGATTAACGGATTGATTAATGATAGGTACTAGATTGGCACCCTTTGAAAGTTTGGGTACTAAATTGTTGAATTTTAAAGTTGGGGGACCAAAGTAACACTAGACCCAAATTATAGGATATTAATTTGAAATTTTCCCATTAATACTATTATGAATATAGTTATAGATTTAGATGTATGTCATGCTTGTCAAGAGTAAATGACAAGTATAAATAACAAAAGTACAGCGAATCCCAACTCTCCTCCCTCAAGATTCAAAACACTGTCCGTTCCGTTCCATGGTTAGACAAAGCGCCAAACGCGCTCCATCACTCTCTCTCCCTCTCACAGAGGCAAAAGAGAAAGAAGCAAAAACAGAAAACAAGAAAGAGAAAAGAAACAGGGAGAACAAAACGGACGAAAGAAGCAATTAGAGAAGACGAGGAAACGCGCAAAAGAAAAAAAAAATAAAAGACAAAAACATAAGGAGGAGAGGAGAAAACAGGGAGAGAACAAAAAGAAGGAATCGATCAACAGAGGAAGAAAGAACACAATGAGCGGACAGAGTGTAGCTCCTCCACCTCCATATCTCGTGGACCCAACTCGCCAATTCCGTCCCAAGGAAGGATGCTTTATGGCGGTGTCAAGCGATTTCACCTCCATGATGTCATACGTTGTTTCACTCATCCTGGTCTTATTTTCATGCAATGTCATACACGGCGTCACTAGGCACCTCTCTCAACCTCGCGTCATCCCTGAAATCATAGTAACCCTCTCTCTCTTTCTCTCTCAAAAAGAAATTTCTCAACTTAAAACCACAAGTAATGAAAGTTTTCACACATTTAGGGGTGTTCTTTAATGTGAATTGCTTTTCTTATTACAAGAAAAGAGAACTCACTAATTTGAAAATAAATTAATTCTTTTTGTATTTCTCGTTTAAAGAGCATATTTTCTTATTTGATATGATGTTCCATAAATCAAATAATTTTTATACCATAAAAATTGTTTTTATTCTAAGACCATAATTTGATGATTCAGAAAAATATATATTATTTGTTGAAATAAAACTGACTTCCTTCTTCATTTAAAATAAAAATAAAGCTCAAGCCATATCTGGATCTTTCAAAATTTGTGCCAATGAACTTGTCCTGCCAGACTCAATGATTTGGATTTGTGCTCTAGGCTTTACACAGGCACAAATCTTGAGACATGCTTTGTTTGCAATGCAATTTTATTTGCACTGGTGTAAAAGTATCGGGTGTAACTCAGCAAATTTTAATTTTTATTTCAACTTTTGCCTCCTTTTGTTTAATTCGGCTCATACCAGTTCTGCTTTAGTCAGGGCAAAGCCCATTCGGACAGCTTTTACTGCATTGCATTGAGAATATCTCCCTACTTATATGCATTATTTCACGGGGAGACATTCCCAATGCAAGGTTGCAAAAGGCTGTTAGAATGGTGTGGGTATAAATTTGCCCTAATAGAAGCCAATCTCGATTCATACACATGAAGTAAAAGAAAACCTAAGACAAGTGAAACAAAATTTGCAATCTTCCCATTTGCACTTTCATGCATTTTTGTACTAGTGCAAACAAAAACAGCATGAAGCGTTGCCAAACGCAACCTCAATTCCTGTTACCTTCTTTGCTATTGTGATGATATACTGTGAAGTGTAAACATACATCTCTCTGTGTTACAGGTAGGATTGATATTTGGCAACAACAGATTCAGTGACTCCACAACCGCAGCCGACTCTGCGATTGCTCGGACATTACACGCAATCTCTGAGGTAGGAATGGTTTGCTACATGTTTGTGTTGGGCCTAGAAATGGATCCTTACGTACTGTTTCTCCCACCAACACGAGAAGTCATGGTGGCATACACTGGAATTCTCTCCACCTTCATCGTGGCCTGCATTGTGATTCCATTTCTCACTCTATCAAAGCACACAAACCTCAGATACGTGCTCATCCTCTCCATCTCCCTCTCCAACACTGCCTCCCCCCTCCTGACCCGTCTGATTACCGAGCTCAAGATCGGAAAGTCGGACATCGGCCGGCTTGCGGTATCCGCCGGAATGCACTCCGACATGATCTCTACACTCCTCATTTCCATCGGTCTTATCTCTATTCCGACCAGAGAAGAGGGAGTCTACATAGGGGAAATCGTGTTCCTGACAGCTTTAGTGTTCATACAAGTGTTCCTCATGGTGAAGGGATTGCCGAGCTTCACGAACTGGATCAACGACAACAACCCAGAGGGGAAGCACATGAATGGTCCTCACTTGGTGCTCGCAATCGGCACAGTGGTCATGGTTTGCTGCTTTGCTCCTCTGGCGGCGGTGAGTCCCATCATGAACTCCTTCTTGACTGGACTGATCATTCCGAGAGGAGGGAGGTTGTCCAAGATGCTCACCAACAAGATTAACTACTTCCTGAGCGTGCTGTTTTATCCGATCTACTTCTGTTGGGTGGGAATGCAAGCTGATTTCAGGCAATTTAAGACCAAGGACTGGCACACATGGGCCAACCTCCTCCTCTTGTTCATAGCCGCAACGCTCGGGAAAATCTCCGGAACGCTGATCGCCGGCATAATGCTAGGGTTTAACTGGCCGGAGTCAATCGCATTAGGGTTGCTTCTGAATATCAAAGGGCATTTTCACATCTACTGTGCCATGATTGCCTTGGAAGTAAGTCCCCCTCTTCCTCCCCGTCCCGTCTTCTACAGTTCTACAACTACAATAAGAAATACTGAGCCCCCCCTTGGATCCATAGGAATAGGGGTTTGGAACTGGAATTCCATTCCCGTTCTTCGTGGGATGGCATTCCCTCATTGAGGGGTGCAACTTGAGCGGGCCTCAGCCCGAGCCCGAATTGGTCCAATTTGAAATTTTACATGGGCTAGGATTGGATTTCTGGTCCTTGGACTGGGCTCGGGCCCAAGAAGTCATGCTTTTTAATTTTTCAGGCCAGGCCCGGTCTTAGCCCTTAGGTAGCCCAAACCTGACCTAAGTTTAAACCAACTACATACATACATACATACATACATACTACTTTAAAAAGTACAAATAGCCTCAAGAATATTTATGGAATTTTCAGAGGACAAAATTTACTCTTCTATATTTAAATTTATTGATAAAAATGAGGGAAAATATGGTAATTGGTTATTGATATTAAATGAGTTGAAAAGAAGTAATTTTAAGATATTCAATTAAATTAAGGTATTAATTTCCATTCACCTTCATTGAATCATATATTTAATGTTCTTTTTTTGTTTCTTCTTGTCATTAAATTCTATAATTAGATCCATACATAATAAATTAATAATTCTAATAACATAAAAATTTATACTTTTAAAATCTACCTGAAAAAAATAGTGTTTTCTTCTAGGTGGTGGTAAGAAATTAAACCATTTGAGTCAAATGGGCCAATCCATGTTGCTACAATTAAATAATAAAATTCAAAAAATGTATAAAGTCCAAAATATATAGAAATTAAAAAAGTGGAAACATTTTTAACATCCTATATTTGACATATTAAAAAATAATAAGTATGATAAACAATGATATGTGTGTAAAAATATATATATTTTATCAATAAATAGTATAATTATGTTTTACATATATTACATATAATATATGTATTATGTTACATTTATATATGTTTCTTAATTTAGTTATTTTATTTATAATATTAAAAATTGCAATATGGGGAAAATGCTTTTTTTTTGCAAAAATAGCAAGGCAAGGCACCTAAGGCCCTTAGGATGTATATCTTGAAAAGTTACCAAAAAAAAATGATCACCCTAATGGACATCGGAGTGCAAAGTTATGGCCTCCAAAAGTTTGCACATAATTAAGTGAACAACTTACAACCTGGTTACTAGGTCGAACAGGTCAATGGATGAATCACCCGGGTTAGATGGTTTTTAACTGAAATGGCAAGTTTCAGCAAAACCAAACCCGGAATCAAGGCTGAGTAACTGTTCGAATGGTAAGTACGAATAGCCTCAAGAATATTTCTAGAATTTTCTGAAGACAAATTTTTTCCTTCTATATTTAAATTTATTGTTAAAAACTGAGGGAAAATAGGGTAAGTGGTTATTGATATTAAATAAGTTGAAAATAGGTGATTTTAATATATTCAATGCATTCAATTCCCTCTCATTAAATCCAACATTTAAAGTATTAATTTGCATTAACCTTCTCTAAATCATATATTTAGGGCTTTTTTGTTTCTTCTCATCATTAAATTCTATAATTAGATCCCATAATAAATTAATAATTCCAATATCATAAAAACTTATACTTTTAAAGTCTACCTAAAAAAATAGTGTTTTCTTCTAGGTGGTGGTAAGAAATTAAACCATTTGGGTTAAATGGGCTAATCCATGTTGCCATAATTAAATAACAAAATTCAAAAATATATAAAGTCCAAAAAATATAGAAATTAAAAAAGTGAGAACATTTTTAACATCATATATTTGACATAATAAACAATAATAAATATGACAAACAATGTTATGTGTGTGTGTGTAAAAATACATATTTTATCAATAAATAGTATAATTATGGTTTATATATATTACATATAATATGTGTATTATGCTACATTTATATATGTTTCATAGTTTAGTTTTTTATTTTTTATTTATAAAATTATTAAAAATTGCAATATGGGGAAAAGTTTTTTGTTTTTGCAAAAATTGCACCTAAGGCCCTTGGACTTATAGATCTTGAAAAGTTAACAAAAAAAGATCACCCCAATGGACATCAGAGTGCAAAGTTATGGTCTCTAAAAGTTTACACATAATTAAGTCCACAACCTGCAACCTAGTTACCAGGTCAAATGGGTCAATGGACGAACCACATGGGCTAGATGGCTTTCAACTGAAAATGACAAGTTTCAACAAAATCAAACCTAGATTTAAGATCGAGTAACGGTTTGAACGGTTCAATTAGCCAGGTGAACATTAGTTTAAAATCATTGATGATAAATAAGAAATGTTTTTATTAATGATGGAAATGGAATGTAAGATTTAAAGTCAATGGGAAGTAAAACTATCTTTCTATTATCTCTCATTAAGTCTCATATCTAGGGTATATTCTCTTATTAAATCTTATATTTAAGATGTATTTTTCTCAACTAAATTCTATTCATCAAATCCACAACATTAATTTTAATAATATCAAAATAAATATTTTGAAAAGTAATTTGAAAACAAAACCATTTTCTTCCCTCCTGGTGGTGGGTAAGCAATTCAACCATTTGAGGTTAAATGCATTAATAAATAATGTCATAATTAAATAATAAAAATTAAATAAATAAAATATATAATAAAAAAATAAAAAGAATTGGGCACGTTACTTATATTGTAAATTCATTATACTACACAAAGATTAGTATAAAATGTAAGAAGTATTTTTATAAATGATGAAAATGGAAATCAACTTAGAAATGAAATGATGTTGTAGTCAAATAATAATATTTTTAAAAATAGAAAATATAATTAATCACAAAAATAAATATTATACATAAGATATAATGTTATATATTTATAAAAAATAAAATACTAGGTACATCTATAATATTATACATTCATTATATTGAACAAAAATAAATATTATACATAAAATATAATTTTATCAATAATGGAAATGTAATACAAAATTTAATATCAACCTAGAAACCAAACTATTTTTCTTTTTAGGTCATGGGTTAGTGGTTTGGGTCAAACGGATTAATCGATGATCTAATAGTTAAATAATAAATCTTTAAAAAGTAATAAAAAGTACAAATAATAAATATATATATATATATATCAAATTATATATTAATTATGTCAAATAGAAAAAAATTAAGTGTGATGTAAGTAAAACTTATTTATATAATGTAGATGTCATAATTGAATAATAAATATTAAAAAAATATAGAACACAAAAAATGAAAAAGTATAGAATTTTGTCAAAAACATTTGGGGACATTTCTAATTCATTATATTAAATAAAAATGATTATTAAAATAAAAATTATTTTTTATTTAAGATAGATATTTAATTATTTTAACAATAAAAATTATTATTAAAACAATAATAATAATAATAATAGTTGTTATTGTAATTTAAAATTTATGTAGGTGCACATTTACTACAAGTATTTAAGTTTATTTTTAATCATATTATTACTTTTATTAATTTTCAGTTTCTATCTTAACTATGATATATCTAAAATTCAAGTAATTAATATGAAAAAAATTTCATACGTGCAACGCACTATGTATGTGTATGTATTTATTTATGTATGTAAATATATATAATATTAGAGTGGGTTCATTGACCGAGCCTAGCCCGGGTGGGTTGGGCCAGGTTTATGGTCAACCCAGGTCTGACGCTAAAATTTGAGCTAAAGGCCTGATCTCAGACCAAGCCTAAGGTCAAGTCCAATCTTCCCAACCTAAGCCCAGCTCGCACTATAATTTGATACACTTAGATTGATCAATAAACCCACTCTAAAATTATACATATGTATATGTATTTATACAAATTTGATGCACTATTTAGATTTTAAATTATAAGGCTTAAAATTTAGGGTTGAAATTTTTAACATTTAAGGGTATAGAGTTTAGATTTTAGGATTTAAGATTTAGATTTCAGGGAAGTGGTAGGACTTATGTCCTGCAACTGCATAAGAGCCAAGTATTGGAGTTAGATCTTCTGCCAATAAAACATGTTCCAACCATCTACCAACATGATCCTACACGGTATATCTCACCAAGATACTAGTGATACCCGCTATGTATGAAATGTGCCGTGTTAGATCATATTGGTAGAAGGTTGGAACATGTTTTGTTGGCAGGTTATCCGGACTCCAAAAATTAACCTTTCTTGCGTGCTCTACAAGCTAACAAAAAGAAACTTAAAAACCAAATTAGCAAAACAAAAGTAATGAGGTGATCAAATCATTCAGTTTTGTTGTAAATATTTATGCAATTAACAAATGGTAACCATTCTACTTGCTAATCTAATATAATGATTAGAAAAATTAAAACAAGCAATTTCCAAGTACCTTATTGAAACACTGCAAGCAGGCAGGAGCTATGAATACTGGAAGCTTCATAGACATGGTAATCGTGTCTATCCTCACCATCGTCTACGTCCCCCTGGTGGTGGCATTCATCGTGGGGCGTGCTCGCAAGCGATCGTGCCTTCAACCCATGACACTCCAGTGGCTAGATCCAGGATCCGAATTACGAATGCTGCTGTGCCTCCACGGGCCTCACAACGTGCCCACCGCCATCAATATCATGGAGATCACTCGTGGAGGCCACTCAGGCCTCGTCGTCTATGCTACTGACATGATCGAGCTCAATTCCCGGACGGCTGCCACGCTCGTCCAAGGCGAGGACCTGGATGCCGTGACGGTGGCCGACGAGACAATCGTCAGTATGCGAGAGCAGATCAGCAATGCGATCCAGGCTTACATGGATGCGAGCGGCGACGGGATCAGTCTCCACCGGATGCTCGCCCTCTCGACATTCAGTAACATGCACCAAGATATCTGCAACATAGCTCAGGACGTCTCCGCCTCTTTCATCATCTTACCCTTCCACAAGAGCCAAAAGGTTGACGGGAGGATGGATGAAGGCCACGCTAACTTCAGAAATGTCAACCGTAAGGTAACCTCTGAGCCTTAACTGTCATTTTAACTGTATTTCAGTTCATATACTGAAAGCTATAGTTTCAGTACCATAGACAAATAAAAAGGCATATAAAAATTGCAAGACAGTTGGATCTGTCTTTGCAAATTGCAATGTTCATGCTGCAAAGTAAGGGGTGAAAATGGGTACCGGATTACCTACACATCCCTTTTACCCAGTGGGTTGGAATGGGTTAAGTGGTAAACCTGCATTGACCGGGTTATGGATCGGATTTGATTGGAGTTGCCCCATGCTAAACGCAGCCGTTGACATTGCAATTTGCAACATCCGGACTCAGCTGCTCGTCGGCGTCGTCGCAGAGCACGCCTTACACCGACCCAATGGGGAAATGTTTTTAATACACAGTGGGATATGGTTGTGAGGTCGGTGTGAGAGTTATGAGCCAGAATTAGGACAATTGTTCTAAAATTTAGGGTCTATTTGGTTATGAGCCAGAATTACAATCCTTTGAAAAATGTCCTATTTCTATAATTTATTTATTTCAGATGAAAAATAGAATCGGAATTGAAATAAATTGGAATGAAATCTCATTTCATAAGGAGGAATGGTTATTCCCATAGTTTTCAAATCATAGTTGATTCAGATGGTTGGACCATTTGACCTGGTAATCGTTCAAGTAGCCGATTTTATTTTACCTTAAATTTAGTTTTTGGTTAAAAATCATTGAATCAGTGAGCGATTCTTGACCTAGGTGGTCAAATCATCGATCTGTTCAACGGTTTTTAACCATTTTTTATTTTTAAATATTTATTTATTTATTATTAAAATGGGCCATCCGTTTAAACCGAATGATCAAACCATCGACCCAAAAATCAATGGCCAGAACAATTTCATTTTCGAATCATTTTTTAAAACCATGACTGGGTTTGTTGAATTAAACCCATATATAACCCAACCAGGTTCGGGCTGGCACACTTTTGGTTGGGTTTGTTGAACCGAACCCATATATAACCCGACCTCTTATCATCCATCCCTACCACCATAATTGGGCTATGTCAATTTCCACAATACCCCCATTTCATTATGATCACTTCATTGATCGGAGTCTTGAACGGCCTATCTCATACTTACAATTATAAGGACCTGAATGTCAGAAGACCCAGAATCACAACATGTGATGGGGTTCGAGTGTGGATGTGGCCTGAATTCGACCCATTTAGTGAAATAAGATAAAATTATTTTTAGGCTCCATTCGTTTTTTGATAAATTATTTATCCGGATAAATATATTTATCCAGATAAGTGTATTTTAAGAAAAATTTATTCGAGTAATTACATTTATTTATGTTCTTTCATTTCCCATGCAAATAAGATAATGACTATTTTATCCATAAAAATCCATTATTACAAAGAGTATTTTTGTCTCGTTAAATATTGACAACTTTCCCCCAACATGAAAAAGTTAATTATCCACTTAAGATATCATCAACAAAATAAACTTTCTCTAATTTTCACATAAATCTAAAAATCAAAATATCATTAATCAACTTTTCCCCTTCTCCAAATCCAGAAAAGAACGCCCCTTAACCATAAATAGGCAATTAATGTGTGATATCTAACAGGTTCTACGTCACGCCCCATGCTCAGTGGGGATACTCGTCGACAGGGGCCTTGGCTTGATCAACAAGGTCAAAAGTCATTCGTATGTATCACTTAACGCCGCTGTGATCTTCATCGGAGGAAGAGACGATCGGGAAGCATTAGCCTATGCCGGCCGTGTGTCGCGGCACCCTGGAGTGACCCTCACTGTCATCAGATTCGTACACGACACGAACGCCGATAATTCCTCCATCTTGGCCGGCGGCATTCATATCGCCGGTTCACTGAAACAGGTGGAAGAGGAAATGAGGATTGACGACGAATGCTTCGCCCAGTTTTATGACATGCACGTAGCTGCAGGTAAGGTCGGGTACGCCGAGAAGTACGTGGCAAATTCAGCCGAGACGGTTTCTTCTCTCAGAGGCATGGAGGGACAGTACGCGCTCTTCATCGTGGGGCGTGGCGGGCCCGGGGGCCGAGCAAATACCATATTGACGGCTGGGATGAATGACTGGGAGGAGTGTCCCGAGTTGGGCCCCATTGGGGACATACTCTCTTCTTCTGATTTCTCGATCATGGCCTCTGTGTTGGTCATACAACAACATATTCTTAAGCATGACATAGAGGGCATCAGCGATGAATTCTCGGTGATGTAGATTGGTTGATTGAACCAGTGAATGAATGGGTTCGTTCCAATTAATGGGGGCCCATAATACAAGGTTACAGTATCTCTCTGGTGGTATTGGCACATCCTCAATCAAATTCAACCATCGGATCAGTTCTGCATCGGCAACAAAGAGACAATAGGCCACTGGTTCATCCAATCAACAATGTCTAGGAGCTATTAATTATCAAAGAGTCCTTTGAGACATTCACAATCCTGTATAAAGTTGTGCAGTAGTTGTTTGAGACAAGTTCACTGTAGAATCTTGTATAAAATTCTTATTAGGAATTAATCATAGAATATTGTTCAATCTGGATGCTGTTTGTCCAAAACCCAGGCCGAAGCTAGTAATCATCCAAGCCAAAATATAACCAATCTATGGGCTAACCAACCCAGTGAGAACTGAGAAGCGTTGGTAACACTGTTTTTAAAATTGGATTGGATTGGACGGTCGGAACCGAAAAACTGGGAACCGATTATTTGACCGGTTCCGTTTTTTTTTTAAACCGTTTTTTCCCTCAAAATCGTTGATTTTGGTTAGCAAATCGTTGAACCGGTTGGTTAATCATTCGAATCGTTTGAATCGTTCAAACGGTTTTGATCATTATCTAATTTTTAATTTTTTTATTATATTGACAGAATGGGCCGGCCGTTCGGGTCGAACGATCAGACCGTTCGAACAAGTAACTGGACTCCTAACCGGTTCGTTTTTAAAAAACCATGATTGGTAATGAGCAACCAAATTCCTAAGCCACCCCATATGAAAAAAAAAAGGATTTCTTTAGATAGATAATTTCAAGTTGGACACATCCAATGCACAAGTTTTATTAAACAAAATTAAAATAAAACTATCTATTTACTTTTTATAATATGTAGTGTTTTCGAACCGTTGTTAACTCAGACGGTTAGATCATTTGGCTTGAGAACTGTTTAGGCAACTAGTTCCATTTCACCCCTTACCATTCTTTAACCAAAAACTGTCGACTTAAGTGGTGTTCGGTGGTGTGGATTGGCAACGATATATTCAGTTTCAACCCACACCACCTCTATGCTATGCGTTATGTTGGCTGTAGTGTGGATTGATCCACACTATCTTGTGGATTGATCCACACCACAACCCATTTTCTCATCCATGGGTTTATCTCGTGGAAGCATCTACACCACACCATTTTTCATATGGAATAACGATCCCATATTTCACATGGATGTTTAACCCTAGTATAAGGCATCTTTTCTTTTTACCTCTGCAACACTTCTTTGTGAGCTTGTTGTTGTTATTCTTCTCTACTCGTCATTGTTATTCTTCTTTATTTGAACTATGGTTTTAATTGAATCGGACTCAGATCGAAAGCAACAAAAGCCACATTCAATTTGATTAGTGATAACCTACATCTGAATCCAATTGGCTTGGATTCGAATTCAAATCCTAACGGACTCAGATCAGATCCGGAAATATAATATATAGAATATACTTTTATAATTTTAAATATAATTATATAAAATTTATATATTAAAATTAATAAATATTATAATAATTGGTTTCATATTTTAATCGGATCGGATGGGGTCAAATCCGAATTCAATCTGATTATTAATCGGATGTAGATTGTAACATCCAAATCCGACCCGATTCAATAAATACATCATTTGAATATGAGATAATAGGATTTGATGTTAGATCAGGCCTTGGATTTTTGGGTATTAGTGACAAACCTAGTTTGAACCAACATTTTAAAAAACGACCTGGAAATGGAATCGTTCTAGCCATCGGTTTTTGGGTCAATAGTCCAACTGTCTAATTTGAACGAACAACCCGTTCTCACAATAAAATTAAAAAATAAAAAAAAATAGTCAAAAACTGTTGAACGGGTCAACGGTTTGTTGACTTTTTCAACGGTTTTTTACCAGATTCTGAGTTTGGGGTAAAACAGAACCGGTTGCCTAGATGGTTCCTGGGCCAAACGATTCGACTGTTCGAGTCAACGATGATTCGAAAGAATTGGTTTGAACCACTCGCCACTCCTCTTCAGACCACTACTACATCGGATCATTGATGGTAATTAGTAAGTATTCATTCTTTTTTTATTCTCATGCTATATTACTCTTCTCTATTTGAACCATTCGCCACTGCTACTCATGTTTATTAATTAATATTTATATTATTTTATTAATTATTAAGCTTAAAATATTACTTTTATTAATATTAATAATTAATATTAATTGTTATTGATATTATTATTTATTATTAAAATTGTTGTTAATACTATCAATTATCATTAATATTACTACTCACTTTTAATTAATATTAATATCATTATTTGTTATTTAATATTATTAATTATTACTAATATTATTTTATTAACTATTAAAATCCTTAAAAATTTATTAATATTTTTCTATTGTGTATATTACAAAAAATAATATATTATTTTTTAATGATTAACGATATAGATTATTTCAAATGTTGTGGTTGAGATGCATGAAATCAAATACAATGTGTAGACTGAAATATGYCAGACCTTGCATAACGCCTATGGAGGTGTGGTGTGAATCAGTCCACACATTTTTGTCCACAGTGTAGAACAACTACTTTGTTGGGGTGTGGTTTGTTTTTATCCACACCACACCCATGGTGTGGATGAAAACACACTACCAAATTTCTCATCTACGCTATAGAATACCCCCTTCCTTAATTAGTAACCCGTTGACCAGGTGGTTGAATAGATGGTTTTTGACTGTTTTTTAATTTTTTAAATTAGACCAAACCGTCCATTCAAACCAAACAGTTGAACTATTGACCCGAAAACTGTTGGTTTTTAAAGCATTGATAATATCGTTACCTTCATTAATAACTATAATCCTCTTAATTACTAATTAGTTTTTAATAGATTTTATTTTTATATCCGACGTTCAATTATGATATAGAAAAGACATGATAATGGAAAAACTCGTAACCAATCTAACTGGAATCATAAAAACAAGTAACCAATCACTTGGTATTTATCCAAATTCACTCAGGGTTGATTGGTAAAACCTCTTCCACTATTATGCCTTTTCGGCATCTTTGAGACATAGATATTAATTTTTATTATTTTTATTATTTTAACATAAAATTTCAGGCATGCCTATTTCCACAAGAAATTGCCCTAAATAACAGTTGTATGTATTGATCAACCAAAAAAAGTTTAAGGTAAAAATAGCAATGGAACTGATGAGGGCAGATTTGGCCCTCCACTAACATCATGACACATGGCATCTCAGAATAGTTGGATGACAACCCAACATCACCTAGGCGACGATTTGCCTTAGCCAAAATGATGGAGTCCCAGCTAGTGACCTGTCTTTGTCGCCGACCTAGGGACCTACCTCTACCACAGACCTGGCGACCTGCCTCCGCCACTGACCTGGCAACCTACCTTTTCTACCGACTTGGTGACCTGCCTCCACCATCGACCTAGTGGAAATCTAGCTCACGACCTCGTGAATAACTCAAGGCGGCTAGCAACACCTCGTCCAGGGCCAACTTGTGGTACCTCATCAATATCGGCCAAAGCGACCTCGATGTGAGGAGCAAGCTCCCTCGAAGGCTTGCCGACCTAATTGAGGTCCAGGTGGCGACCTATGAAACGTGCTCACTGACCAACTCTGCATGCATCCCATCACTCCTAAGTTTCTCGGAAGTCAGCTCTCACACTGAATGTTTCGAAGGAAATCAAGTAAGGCGCAAAGATTGGCCTACGTGCACAACTACCTCCGAGAACTTCGGACCAATTAGGTACGTCTTCCCGGAGATCCCAGACACAATGCCTATATTAAGGCCTTACCTCCAACCTCAGCTCTCCAGCTCTCTCATATTTAGCTATCTTAAAAATCTCTTATTCACTAACATAAGCATCGGAGTGCCCACCCCAAGTAAAGAAACCCAGGCACTCTGACACTGATTCCTTTTAGGCCACACCATTAAACTATGCAACTCGCCACCTTCAGCTAGGGGCAGTTCAACTAGGCATTAGAGTCATCTTCACCTAGGGACAGTTCAGCTAGGCGTTAGAGCCACCTTCAGTTAGGCACAGTTCAGCTAGGCGTCAGAGCCACCTTCTAGGTAGGAACCGTTCAGCTAGGTGTCCGAGCCACCTTCCTTCTAGGAATCATTCAGCTAGGCATCCAAGTTATATTCTAGGTAGGGATTGTTCAACTAGGCATCTGAGTCACCTACCATCCGGGAGCTACCAAAATGTGCATAATCAGGTCCTAAAACAAGTAGGTGGTCATAAGAACTTGTGCTTCAAGTAGTGCTAAATGGCACTGTCCCTGAACTATGCTCATGTTTGAAAATGTTAAAAGACTTTTTGCAACCAGCTGGTTGGTATGGCTTCCTAGTTGTCATTGTGGAGACTTGAGAATCGAATCTTGCCTAGGTTGGGGGCTTATGGGTTGGGACTTGGGAGGCTTGCTTGTTGTTGGGGAGACTTAGGCTCAGTTTGGAAGGAGTACAAATACATACAAAATAATAAAATGTAAGATTTTGCAATCTACATATTTGCATTTGTACTCCTTCCAAATTGAGCTTTAGGGATAGAATCTTGCCAACACCTAGGTTGGGAGGCTTATGGGTTGGAAGGCCCTTCTACTTGTCGTTGCGGATACTTGGGGATCAAATCCTGCCTACACCTAGGTTGAGGGGCTTATGGGTTGGGGAATGGGCTACCCCTTGTCCTGCCTACTCCAAGGATAGGGCATTTTTCTTCTTTGTTGCATTCTTATAGTTGGATGGATCCCTGATAGTGTCAACATGTGACTTCCCAAATCCCAACTGATGTTTGGATCTTCATTAGGAACTTCGAACTCCCTTCCCCCTCACAATTTGACTTCCCATGTCGTTTTTGTTATATAGGAAACCAGCAATGCTGATGGAACATAACAAGGAGAAAGATAGAAATCTGTACTCAACAAGCTCAATGAGTCTTGAATCCATAAGGATGAGCTTGTACT